ACCATATTAATCCTAAATGCAAGATAATTACAATTAGATTTACTATTAGGGATTCATAGATACTAAATTCTGGCCAATCCGACACTTAACATAACTTAAAGGTGCAGTATGTAATATTAACAGCTAAAGGTTGAAATAGGTAATGCAGGCCCCGCCCCCTCCTCACACGGGTAGCCAGATTGAGGACAAGCAAAAGCGACGAACCTTACACTAAGTTGATCAGCTAATGTATACGTTTACATTGTTTATATTGCTGAGGCTTTATAGGTCGGGTAGAATTTGCGATCTCTGACCCAGCTCATTTACTGGCTTTCATGGCTGCAGTACACTGTATTTTCCACCAACTGGCAACCTGGGGTGTCAAAATACTACTGGGTAAATTGGTAGTGGACGGGATCACACAGATCATAACAAAAGCAGACATCCCAAAGAAGATTGGAATTTCAAAATAGAATAATTGGCTGTAACATTATTTTTCAGATAAACAATTATTTGAACTTAGTATATTTGCAGAGATTTGGGAAACATATGGTGATTTTATGCTTTAGTACAGTCAAAAAAAATAACATACAGCACCTTTAAAATACCATGTTTTGGCATCAAAAGTCACACAGGTGTGTTTAACTTATTTGGCAGCAAAATCTTTTGAATTGAAAATGTAAGTGTTCAGAACTCAATATATTTAAATTGTTATTATTAAGTAGTATTATTATTACTTCCAAGCTTTATAATGGGAGTGAATGGGGATTGAGATTTTGAAGCCCAAAAAAAGTGCATTAATCCGTCATAAAAGTAATCCATACGGCTCCAGGGGGTTAAAAAAAGGCCTTCTGAAGCGAAGCCATGCGGTTTTTTCAGAAAAATATCCTTATTCAGAAATTTATAAACTATAAATCACAGGCTTCCGGTAACGGCCGTATGCGAGTCAAGTTCTGGAGGAAGAGTGACCTCTGACCCGACGTAGGATGTAGGAGTAGCGCAAGCTTAGGTGAGGGTAGACGCCTCTTGTGGTTCAATCAAATAGGGCTGGCAAACAAACTCAAGCTCTTCTTTTATATCGAAATCCTCCGACATTTCTCTTTAAAAATTCTTGTTTTAGACTTCTAATTTGTGACCAGTGTTTTGTTTTGATCTATCCTCTGCGCTTCTGCATTCGTCATACATTGGGTCATACATTAAAGTTTATAAATGTATAAATATATATACAAATTTTTTTTTTTTATTCATACGAAAACGCATCGTTTCGCTTCTGAAGCCCTTTATGAACCCCCTGTAATCGTATGGATTACTTTTATAATGGATGAATGCACTTTTTGGGGCTTCAAAATCTCAGGTACCATTCACTCCCATTACAAAGTTTGGTAGAGCCTGGATATTTTTTTTATATATCTCCGATTGTGTTTGGCTGAACAAAGAAAGTCATATTACACCTAGGATGGCTTGAGGGTGAGCAAAAGCAAATTATTGGATAATTTTCATTTTGGGGTGAACCAACCCTTTAATATGCTGTTAAATCACTATTTTATTCAAGTTTGGCTATGAAATGCAATGAAACCTTAATAAAGCTGTTGATGTGTGAAGTAGTAACTTGTTTTAAGGATTTATTGCTTGTTCAATATAGTAAAATCAAGTATTCCTACGTCAGTGCAAGACATCAGAAACAGAAGTGAAAAAATAAATATGTTTTCATATTGAGTCCTGCTGGACCAAATTCCTCTTAAAATGTCTAGATTTATATTTCTATTTTGATCTTGGTATAGCCGAGGAATTATTTCTAGAGTTAAAGATGCACATTACAAACAATCGCTGTGGCCTTATTACCAAACTTATTACTAAAGAAACTTCTGAATTCCCTCACTTCCTAGTTTTTGCCAGCAAATGAAAGACATATGACTCCTGCAAAATTTACACGCATGAAACCCTAAAGCATTTACCTAAAAGGCTATTTAAAAATAAACGCGATGTCTTTCTGTAATTCAAGCCAAATACTTCATGTAGGCCTAATGAAAAAATCATTTGAACACAGCCTCACAAATGCATTGCTCCCGCTAATTAAAAACACATCAGGTCCAGAGGCAATGGAACATACGTTGAGCTGGGTGGAGTGTAGAGGGAGTTTCTGCAGTTTAACAATATCAATCTGTCAGAGTCTTTCGTTTTGTCATGTTAAATTGTTTTTTTAAAAGTACCCTTTAACAACATCCAAAAATTAAAATGCAACACAAAGCCCTCCGAATGCTAAACATAAACTGTCGGGAGAAGATGCGAGTCAAGAGGAGGAAAGGAAGAAGATGCTGCAAAAACAATCTCAAAGAGAGGCGCATTTCCTTTCAGAACACTCCTGGGGATGTTTCTCATCTTTATACCTCACCTGAACATCTAAAGCTCTGAGGTTTTGGACAGAACAGGGTTACTGCACCATCAACAGATGTCAAGGTTTGTCTCAGACAGTTGAGAGAAAACTGGGTCAACGTCTAGGGGTAGATCTCCGCAATTTTCAATCTCTTTGCGGGAGAAGTGCCAGCAGTGAACACAGTGCAGTTGAGCACATCAGAGCAGCAGAGCACAATGTATGCTTGAGCATTTTACAGAGCCTAAATCAAGCTGTGTAAATCCTCCTCCTGCTCCTCCATGCCTGCTTAGAATTTAAGCTTTAGCTCCGAGAGGGGGAAAAACATGGTGTGCAAAATAAATCAAAAAAGATGGTTCGGTTCCTGGTAAAACGCCACTTTTGAAATTAATGTGGCATGTTACTAAGTTGTATCACATCTGCAAACAGACAACAGTATAACTATTTATTCTGACTGTTATGATTAATATTATCTATTGATGAGTTGGTGTCTTGTCTCACTTTGCTGTATCTTAGTCTGTTTTATAAAAGCAATAAGCTGCTCAAAGCTGTGCATTACAGTAAATGCATTTACATCAGTGGCTCTCAACCAGGGGCCCGGGTCCAAAAGGGCCTCAAGAGGCCTTAAAACGTATTTAAAATGAGACAAAAACCACCAAAAATCAAGACATTTCTTATTTTAATTCACCAAGGTTTAGTTTCCTTCTTTCTTTCTTGAAAAACCTATATGAGGTAGGTAGCCTAATTGTGAATGCGTTATAAAAATGTTACACACAAAGTGTGAGTTCTAGACTTCTAGTATAATTCTAGATTTCATGATTTCTAGTATAAGCCATCCATGGGCATTTTTATAATAGGATACACATTTTTCTAGTTATGCAAAGCTGCAAAATATTTTTATCAGGTAGAAAGACGGAAAAAAAAAGATGTAAAAAATCTTATTCTTAATCCTCATAAATCATGAACAGAAAAAAATGTGGCCTTTGAATATTGTTCTGGACAATGGGAGCCATGGAGTCAAAAATGTTGAGAAAACAGTTGGACTAAAATAATAATCTGTCTTTTTAAAATGTCATGCAAGCACTGCAGTCTGGCTGAAATCGCATCAACCCAGTAATTTTAAAGGGATCGTTCGCCCGAAAATGAAAATTGTGTCATCATTTACCCTCATTTCGTGAAAAAGCTGTATGAATTTCTTCTGTGGAACAAAAAATAAGATATTCTGAGGAATACTGGTAACCAAACGGTTTTGGTTACAATTGAAGGGACATTTCTCAAAATCTCTTCTTTTTTGTTCCAGAGTAGAAAGTCATACAGGTTTAGAATGACATGAGGGTGAGCAAATGACAGATTTTATTTTATTTTTTGAGCGAACTATCCCTCTAAGTCGGAATATCAGGGCTGGATAATGCTATTTTAGCTCAGCTCTGTCCAGCATGCATTCAAATTGTACTACAATTGACAATTTGGCATTTTGTGCATGCTCTAAAAGATAGAGGTCATATGGCAACATGCATAGCATCCATCAAATATTCAATTATGCAATGCATCATACGTATAGCTTGACTGCACAAAAACCTGCTGTAGCTTGATTATAACACCCATGTAAAAGTAAAAAAAAAATGTTTTACCATGGTAAAGCCTAAAACCAACCCATACCTGGAGTGCCTTGTTGCTTTGATATCTCATTGTGAAAGCACCTGTCGATATTTGCTTTTAAATCTAGGGCGGAAAGCTTTGTAATCTTCAGCAGAGGCTGTTCAAAGGCCCACATGCACCGCTTTCTATTCCAGCAGGACAAGGATTAAAGTATTTAGCAGTCACATCTCTAAATCCCATTTTGCTCATATGGAGGGACTCGAGGCTCTGATGCATCAAGTGATTTGCTGTAAATTTCACAGCACGGCTTAAAAAAAGAAAAAAAGCACGTCCTCCAGATTAAACGATGTTGGTGCGATGCACGATATGAACGAGAAAGATAAAAGAGCACAATGGGCCGTCACAACTGGTGGCGAGGAATGCCTCGGGAATGTCTGAGCACAAAAAAAAAAATGCATTGCAAAACAATACCTGAAGCATACATTCCAATACGCTTGTTCGCCGAGCAAACTATGGGTGGTGTGAGAGATAGAGATCTAAACATTCAGAAACACAACAAATCCATACGCGGCTATGGACTTCAAAGGGCATAAGATCAGATACATAAATCGTCCCTGAATGCATCTGTTAAATCTATACCTCAAAACTTTTTGGAGTGCACATTCTTTCTTTCTTGCAAAATATTCAATGCAGTTTCTTCTTTTGTGCACATTCTAAAGAGAATCCATGTTGTGGTTCTCCTGAAGAAACCTTTATTCTGCTCCAAAGCCTGCCATTCAAGAGACACCTGCATGGAGAACACAAAGAGCACCCACTTGCACCAACTCGCAGTAGGCAAAGACAACGCTGCGACCCAGTATCTGTCTTGCTACCTCAGTCGCAGCTACTTAGGGGTTTCTGCCTATACTGCATTCCTCTCATCTCCTGTGGAAGGCTGTGCTTAACTCAGATTCCCTTTTTATCTTTTTCTTCTGACTGCGATTGCACCGCGAGGGGGGGGGAAGGGGGATGGAAGAAGAGAGACAGGGTTTTCAAAGCTGCAGGGATTTACCTGTACTCACGGTTGTCCTGATATCTTTTACTGCTGGCCACCCGCTGAGGCACGGTTTCCATGAGAAGCTTCTGGGTCAGCCTGTTGCTGGGAGTGGGGTCGCTTTCAGAGTTCTGCTCCTGCTCCTGGTCGCACCTCCACTCCTCGTCTTCTTTCACAGTTGGCAAGTAGCCCGGCAGAATTTTGCCATTCCCTGACACCGAGCTCTGGTCACTGAACAGTTTGGGACTCTCTCCGCCCGTCCTAGTGTATTCCAAGTATATGTCGGACTTCAAAAACAAAGGGTAGGTGTTTTCCTCCATCATAGTCTGAATTTCGGTTTGAGCCTGGTCGAACATGGCGGGATCGATGTGAAGCTTCATCACGCAGTCTTTGATGAAGCTCTTGGTGGCGGGTTTGATCTGCCTCGACACGATCCCGTTGTTATCCAGGATGTACTTTTTGTAAATGGCTTTCGCGAGTTTCAGCATCTTCTCGTTGCCTTCGTTGTTCTCCTGCTTGCGGAAGCCGCTGCAGGCGAACCAGAAGTCCAGCATGTCGGCGCACTCCTCCTGTTTGAGGAAAGTCCTGAACAGGTGGATGCCGTCTTGGTCGTCCAAAAGCGAGTGCAAGGACTCGGCCCACTTCAGGTAGGGCGGCGTCGGGGAAGCGCTACCCTCTGGCTCGTAGCCCAGATCCAGGTCGGGTCTTCTGGGTGTAGCTATGGGGGCCTCGTTCTTGAGGCTCTCGCTCTTGGAGGAGTAAAAACTGTGGCTGTACTGTGGCCGTCCATCGCTGGACACCAGATCGCCCTCCTCCCCAGGGACCGGGGGTCTGGGGGCATCCTCAGTGAAGCTGCTGCCCGGGTCTGCTAGATAACACAAGTTCTCGTTTACGCTCATGCTCATAGTGTCCCTGCACCCTGTCCCAGTACAGCCCACAAGGCAGAAAGTTTATATCCAGACTTCTATTAATGCCACTGTGAAAGAATTCCTCCTATAAGAGAAGTAAAGAGAGAGAGAGAGGCATGGAAAAACATTCAATGAGGCTCGACATGGTCAGTTCAGCAAAGTAATACTGCTTGACGCAGAATACAGTGTAAAACCCTGTGTAAAATAGTGCTGCTAATGTCAAGAATGACAATTGACATAACTTCACCTTGAATTTGGGTACTTTATATCAACAATGAATCAAATTTCTATAATAAAAAGAAAGAGACCACAGTGTCATCAATAACTAAAATTGACTCGTATCATAGTGTGTTTTTGTGGATTGTATGTGAAAATATAAAGATGTATAACACTATGACCAACTGTTGCAGATGTATCAAGTAAAATTATCATTTTTGTATCATAATTGAGCTTATGAAATACTTGTCAATAAAAAGCTAATTCTGTGCATTGCATATAGCATTAAGATGAGGAAAGTAAAGGCAGTTACACTATTTTTAAAAGTGTCCTTGTTACAGTGTAAATAGTCACATATTGTACTTAGTATAGAGTTGGTTGCATGTCATATAATGGACAGTTTACAGTTATTACTATAGTAAGGAGGACGCTAAAATAAAGCGTTACCGTAGAAGACATGAACGTTAGAGATCCAAGTCAATAACACTGTAATAATGGCTCTAACTAACAGTACAGCTTTTAGACAATTTAAAACCGGTATCATCTAAGCTTAATTAAACACTCCAGTGCTCTACAACCTCTATCAAACTTGACGTGGCCTCAGGCATCTATCTTAAAGCTAAGATAGTGCAAAAGGGCAGCCATCATGGCACAAACAGTCCTGAACTCACCTGTGACACGATTTATGACACCAACCATAAATCCAACACTTTCAAGTTCCGACCTTAAAACCTGTGACTGCCTGCCAGCTACATTTCGTCTGATGTTCTTGATGAAGCCAGCTAAGGAGGAGAGAAACCTTGAGCTTCCCTAGTCAATAACTTTAACAGCGCGAACTTTAATGGCGATGAGCTAGCAGGCTAATCCAGCACAAGACGCGAATTTATAAACATTTTACGCACACAAATGCTGTTATTTGAAAACAAAGCCCCGGTAAACACCACGGGTGTAAACTGAAAGAGGCTACTAACGAGCTAGTCACAAAACAAGCTGTGATAACTTAAAAAAAACATAAATACGGCGAACATCCACCGCATCAAAGAACGTAACGCGCGAGGATAGGAAGTACGTGCGGCGCGAGACCTTCCCGAACAAGTGAGCATAGACGGTGAAAAACACTTTCACCATCTTTGAATGCACGAGCCGACATTTCTAGTGAGCTTGTTCTGCTGATCCACTCAACGGTTCAGACTCAACTAGTGTGAGAACACGTTGTCACCGCTAGCCATCTTTAACCACTAAAAACGCCAATATATCCGATTATCCCACTTATGCACGGGGGGGAAACGGCCATCTAAAAAGGGATAGCGTTCGCTCGCGCTGCGTTTTTCCTTCGCTGACGACATTACAACACCCCTTTTGCTGCCCTCGCGATCTGCTTTGAAGTGAGCCCCACATTCATCGCATTCATGTCTCGGCCTCAGCAGCAGCAGGAGCGGATGGGGGAGGGGAAAGTAAGAAACAAACTCCATACACACACACACAGAGCCAGGCCCTTCCGCAGCCCAGGGACTAGTGTGCAACTTTGCAACACTGATTTTCTCACTCCAACACGCGCCGATAAACCGAGCGCGAGAGCTTTATTAGCGCGCGCTCGACCTCGCAGAGGATTCGAACGCGAGCAGCGAAAAAAGCGACGGTGCGTTTCATCTCTCTCTCTCACACACACACACACACACTCTCTCTCTCCCTCCCTCCGCTACCGCAAACCCCCATTACACCCAAGCCAGGAGGAGAAAAAAAGTGCTCCGTACTGTACCTGTGAGAATCTACTTTCCGTTTCCGAGCGCATCGGGAATAGCGTTGTATGCGGCGAGATATGAATCGTGTCATCGATGCGGATCTCGGAGTTTAAAAATAACAAAGAAAACAGTCGCTTCTCCACCTCTCCATGGCTGTCTCTCACACTCCTGTGCCCGTGTGCGAGTGAGAGAGCGAGTGAGTGAGAGAGGAGCAGGAGATGTGAGCGCCGCGCACGGCCAGAAATCACACTGCCGCCTGCAGAAGAAGAAGAAGAAGAAGAAGAAAAAAAAGACCAAGGCGAGGAAACTCTGGAGTGTGAAGAGAGCGCATTCAATCCACGTCCATTACACTTTAAAGGTGCTCTCATGAATGTTTGCTAATTTAACGGTTCCAGGTGAACAGCACTTTGAGAAATATAATTTAAACGATGTTCATATGATGAGATAAGATAGCAGTCTTCTAGAAAAAGCGGTTTACTCTACAATGAGCAGGTCGCCCCCTCATGGACGCCGCCATGTTGACATCACATGACCTGCCGTGTCATTCGTTTGACCATTTACTAGTACTAATATTGTTTACTTTCCACTTACAATAAGTGCTGATCTAAAACAAATTGCATACCAAATAATATAAAAATAAACTTTTTCTCAAAAAACGGAGGACAACAGGCAATTCCTTAAACCATAAAACACAATGCAATGCATCATTCAAAAAGCAAATAAAACACACGTGAACAATATGGAAAATTCCTTCACATTAACACAGTACATATACCTCAATGCTATTTATATAATTTCGACACGGCTGAAAAGGATGCTGTGAGGGATTTAAGTGTGTTCAATGGATTGTACTGTTGTTTAACATACCAATTATTCAGCTAATGAAACATCTTTCCAAATAACTTTCAGTAGACAAAACTACATAAAATAGTTTTGAAAGTTGTGAATTTTGAAAATTACTATACTTTTATAGAGCGTTTGCCATGGTAAAGAATGTAAGTCCATCCCTCACAGCCTCGTTTTCATCCGCATATCAAAATGGCGTCTACGCTGGCTAGGTCTATTGGGTCATTTTTACGGACCTTTTTTAGAATATGTATGTACTACAGACATAGTATAACACTAGAGCCTGAGTCAACAGAGTTTGCATATCCAAACAAGCAATCATTCCCTGCTATAGTGATGAAATATACGCAATGACCTGCAGCTTCCATATATACAGACTAAGGATAAACAGCAGGAGATCAAGCACCGCACGCAAACACACAACGGCCACAGCTGCCACACCACAAAATGCCTCCGTCTAACACACAGCCGCTGTAGAGAGAGAGAGAGAGAGAGAGAGAGAGAGAGAGAGAGAGAGAGAGAGAGAGAGAGAGAGAGAGAGAGAGAGAGAGAGAGAGAGAGAGGTCGTGGCTGAACCACCAACAACATGCAACAAATTCTTGAGACTGAATGCAAGAATGTACATTATATATAGTGTGAGACAGAGCGAGAGAAAAATAGACGAACAGGTACAAAAGATAATCAAACAACTTTAGTGTGAAGAGGCAGTAGTTAGTAAACAAACTTCATCCAGCCAAACTGACTGGTCAGTATAAAGCCCAAGACCAGTGCACATCTATTATCTATACATTTTGTAAACAAATTTTTGTCTGCTGATGTGCCAGTTATTAATAGGCTTAATCAGAAGATGTACATTGAGTAGTACACAGTCATAGTGGACTATAACCTATGCATAAATTATGCAGTGTCATTGACACACATTTCACAGCTCTTCCGTGACATGCTATCTGTTAAAAAAAAAAAAAAAAAGATCAGCTGTGATCAAAGGTGCTGTTATCAAATAAAGTTTTTCAGATGTTTGCCGGGTGCACGTAATGCCCTTCCTTGTGAGTTTACTGTAAAAAGTGATCAGTTGACTTACCTTAAAAAAAAGTGAGGAAACCCGTTGCCTTAAATTTATTAAGTCAATAAACTTTATGTGCAATTGAAAAAATTAAGTTAAAGCTATGTGGAATTGTCAAGTTCACAAAACATGAGGTTTATTGACTGGCAACTGGTTTCCTCACTTTTTTTAAGTTAAGTCAACTGATCACTTTTTGCTGTGTTCCTATTGTGTGCAATATAAATTGTTGTGGAATAAAAGATCAAGCTTCATCTTCTTGTTAAAATTTCAACGAAATGTACCAAAACATAACTCAAATCCCTGGAGTTTAGCATTCAAAAACATGAGAAACTAGAGAAAGAAAAAAGCCTCCACCACTCTTTCAATGTGAAAGGAGATTAGAATCAAGGTGCATTTCAGATTATATCTCTCCATCTGACAAAAGATGAAAGCAATGTCGGGGAAAGAAAGAATGTATGCGATTTAAACACTGCTCTTTTCTTTCAGTCATGAAAAAGTATGCAGCAGAAGATATCTTTAAAATCCTTATGCATGTTTTCAAAGTCTAATAAACCATACAGATAAATGACTGGAAATACAAATATCCTCTCTTTCATTTTTAGCCTATAAGACAAGAGCAAGAAATATGTCATCAGACTGGACACAGGCAAACCTACACTACATGTGAGAGAGTCGAAAGCCTCTGAAAATGATATGCAGAAAGTAAGAGGGGATGTATAAGTTAGTTCAGGAATTCCTGTCTTATGACTTTAAAAAAAAAATTAGCAGGCCTTAAAGACGAATATTACTTCGTATGCATGCACTGAACCTCTGAAGTTATGACTCAACACCTGGATATAATCAGGCATGTAATCTCATGGATTCATTGCAAAAAGATCAAAGGCCTTTGGAATGTGAAGTCCTGTTCCTCCTTTTTATGACTTTATTTGATTAGCTCATCTGAAAATGAAAGAGTAGTTTGTGTGGAACCATGAATTTAATGACATATTACAAATTGCTCATGGGAAATCAAGACCGGGCGTAGTTAGGCATTCATCTCGGAATTTGACGCACCTTAATGTAATGTTCACAAAAGAACATTAAAGGAACATTTGTCAAGGTCTGCCAAGCCAAGTTCT